TGTGATTTTCAGTGGTGACATTGTAAGTACTTTTTCACTGGAGATTCCTAATACTGTCAGGAGGTCTTTGTTGGACACACTGTTTATAGTCCACAAGAAACTTTGCTACAATTCATTATCTGACATGTAAGAGAAAGTAGGCAGCACAGCTAACTGCCCCTGTGGCCACCCAGACAAACTCATTTACAATGCAGTTACTTATGTAGCACTAAGAAGCAGAGGTGACCTCACACTATGAGATCTGCCTGCCTTTGCCTACTGAATGCTGGGGCTGAAGAGGTATACTGCTATACCCAACGAAGAACAGGGCTTTTGGAAGGAGGCAGGCACACGGGAAGGGGAGGAAGGAAAAGAATGGAGTCAGAATAGATGCTGTTTTTGTGTGGCTTTGATCTTCCCCTGGAGACTGAAGGCTTTACATTGATATCTGTTCACTGACCACCTCCATCCCTCAGACATATCTGAAGATTGCTTTTGGCCAAAGAGCACTGTCTTCTACGGGTATGTGAGTGCCCAAGGGTGCTCCATGGTGCTACCTAAGCCTGTTCTCTGTCAGAGCTCACCTCTTTTATTTCTTTCAGGTGCTGACCCCAGGGCCTTCTGATGTTCCTTGCACGCTAATTTGTTCTGAGCCAACTTCCCAGAGAACTTGACCTAGAGTAAACACCACAGCAGCCTAACTCTTAAGCTTTATTTGCAGACTATCCCCAATGAACATGGTTTGATTGACTAGTTTTTAACTTTATAATGGTGTGAAAGCAACACCATTCAGTATAGACTGTACTTCAGAATTTGCTTTTGATCAGTTCCCAGGCTAGTGATATGCAAGAAGGCAGTTTTGTGAGATATGGCAAGGAGACATAGCTCTCCAATCATTCATAGGATCATAGGCATAAATAACACTCTCCTGTGCCAATTTGCTAAACTATTATGTTTTTGTGGTAAATGTATTTCTGGCCCATGAAAGATATTTTCAACTCATGTTGAAATTATCAGAACACAATCATAGATTTAGAAACCTCTGAATATGAAATACTCATGTAGGATTTTAGTGAAGCAAATCTAAGTGGTTTCACACTTAAATGCTTTACCTAGTAAGGAAAATTATCATCGCTATCATCATGGTTTTATATGCAAGACTAATTTATTGTTTAATCTTTGTGGTGGTTTGAAAAAAACACCCCTAAAGGAGTGTCGTTATTAGGAGATGTGGCCTTGTTGGGGTAGGCATGGTTTTGTTGGAGGAAGTGTGTCACCATGAGGTGGACTTTGAGGTCTCATATATGCTCAAGCCACACCCAGTGAGACAGAGCACTTCCTGTTGCCTATGAATCAGTATATAAGAATTCTCAACTCCTTCTCTAGCATCATGTGTGTCTGCATACTACCTTGCTTTCCACCATGATAACGGAGTAAACCTCTGAGCTTTAAGGGGGGCCCAATTAAAGGTTTTTCTTTATAAGAGTGTCATGGTGTCTCTTCATAGCAATAGAAACCCTAACTAAAATAATCTTCCAAACAAACATCAAGGGAGAATTGTTCCTTTTTTCTTCTTTGTTTTTGTGTTGTACTTATACACATATGCTTATGCCTCAGAACAGAAAATATATTAGTTAATAGGATGTATCATGACTATTTTTAATGTTACATACCTAAAACCAAGAATGCTTATTAACAAAGTGACTGTAACAAACCAGAGAAGGGCGTTCAGTACATGATGTACATTCTCAAGCAAGGGCAGCGCTTTTACATATTACTCTAAAGAAGAATACTTTCTTTTTTCCTTAAGTCAACTTACGGTTTAAGCTGCGTGATTATAACATGCAGGTAAAGATTCATACTCAAAAGTCCCTTTACTCGTTAACATTCTGGGAAATTTGAGAGAAAACTTCCAGCTATTAAAGGTTAAATTAAGATGTTAATTGTTGCAAGGATAGCTCAGATTTACTAAGCATATGAATTCCTGTTCTAGACCTCACCAGGCTTCTTCTAGAATTCTCCCAGAATTCTAATTTATACAACAGCCAAATCAACAGAAAGAATGTACACAGCATGGAGACCCTAACTTCAGTTTTTTCTTCTCTGCTGTATTAAGGGCCACACACACACACACACACACACACACACACACACACACACACACACACACACACACGGCAGACTCTGGTTCTGCATCAGCTGCGGGACACATGAGTACGGACATTTTCTCTGCCTCAGGTGTGCCGTTATTCTGGCAGTTTCCAAACCTGATGTGGTAGTAATTACCTGAGGAGCAGCCTATGGTACAGGGAGACGGAAGACATGCTGAGAACGTAGGGCTGGAAAACAGCACTGTTTATTAGAAAGATTATCAAAGTACTTTGTAAGCTTATTATTTAACAGAACATTTAGGCTACTGGGCTAAGTGGTATGGTGAATTTGTTCTGGAGCCTAAAATATCAAGATCAGATATCTGGAAATTCTTGCTTTAAAGTTGTACTTGAAAAAAAATTAAACCTGATTGAAAAATATTGGTAGAATGAAATTTTAGTACCATCAGTAAACACATCTATTATAAAATATTCTTTCTTGAGAAATAGTGAATCAACTAAATGTGGCATCAACAATACATTTTCCCCCAAAAATGTCAATGTATGCAACAGTACTCAAGTGAATAAATGTTATAATATACAACCCAACCACTTTGTTTTTGGAGCCAAAGAATTCTGACGTGCAGAATTTTTCCTTCTTCCTTTTTTTTTTTTTCCTTCTCAGTGCTGGGGAAGGAGTTGAAGGCTTTAAGCACGCAAGGCGGGCACACTACCATCTATGTGGTCCTTTGCAAATGGACAACAGAGAGAATGTGAATAAATGAGGTTGATTCACTCATTTGGCAATTATTTTGTAAACCTATTACATGCCAGGCATCCTGGTAGGTACTGGCAACATAACTATAGACACAGCAGACATGTTCTCTGCCCATGTGAAGCCTTCTATCTAATGAAAGAAACGGACAAATAGGCTGTATAGCATGAGTACTGTTGATCAATTTCTACATAAGAATGGAACCAAGCACACGAGATGCCCAAACTGGACTTAAAGGGGGAAGTTAGACGATGTTTAAGTTGAGTACTCCATGTAGTTGTTGGCCAGTTGGGGTGGGGTAGGGGCTAAAGAGAGGAAAGCTTATGTAAAGTTCTGAAAGAAAATGTGGCTCTTTCAAGAACCTGGTAAAAGAGCTTAGGGAAGCTGAGTCTTGGAAAGGGTGGTGGCATGGAAAGATGAGGTGTGGAAGAATAATTGTTTGGGAAAGGCGACGTAAGTATTATAGAATATAGGCTTTGCCATAACAGCAGCAAGAAGCCATGAAAAACACTGAAATCAAGGAGATCAAAGTCACAATATTGCTTAACTACAGAGTGGGTAATGAAGGTAGGGAGACCGAATAGGATTCTCAGAGGGGAGGATTCTCTCAGGTGAGAAGATGGACTGTGCGTGATGCCGGGAACGAAGAGAAGTTTTGGTGGTATTTTGTTTGTGATATAACAAATAAAGCTTGCCTGAAGATCACAGTGGGGAGCTAAGCCACTTGTTAGCTAGAGAGGCCAGGCAGTGGTGTCACACATCTTTAATCCCAGCACCAGGAAGGTGGAGACAGGAGTGATATGGCTGCACAGAGAGAGGAATATAAGGCAGTAGACAGGAGCTCATTGCATTCAGTCTGAGGATTTGTGGAGACAGGATCTTGCCCCTTTGGTAGAGGTAAAAGCTCACTGACTGTACTGACAGCTGGGGAACCTATGTAGGACCTAACTAGGCCATCTGAATGTGGATGATAACTGTGTGGCTTGGGCAGTCTGTGAGGGTACAGGCAGGGGGACCAGGATTTATCTCAAGTGCTTGAACTGGCTTTTTGGAGCCCATTATCTTTGAAGGGTTACCTAGATATAGAGTGGAGGACCTTGGTCCTGCCTCAAAGTGATTTGTGCCAGACTTCCTTGACTCTCCATGGGAAGGAAGCCTTATCCTCTCTGAGGAGTGGATGGGGTGGGATAGGAGGAAGGTGGAGGGAGCAGGAGGAGGGGAGGGAGTGGGAACTGAGATTGGTATGTTGTTGGGGGAAGTCCTGTGCATTTGTCAATAAAGTACTGTTGAGCCTATAGGAAACCTAGATAGGAGGGACTAGGAGTCCAGGAGAACTCTGGGTAGGAGAAACACAGGAGAGTTCGAGATGTAACCGCCATTGGGGTAGGAAGCCTGGAACCTCTCCGGTAAGAAGCATACTTAGATTAACAATTATGGGGTAATTACTTAAGTCAGAGCTAGCCAGTAAGAAACAAGCAAGGCCAACAGCTTCATAATTCATATAGCCTCCTGTGTGTTTACTTGGGACTGATACGGCTCTAGAACCAGGCTGGCGGGAAAGCGGCTCTGAAACCAGGCGGGCAGAAAGGCTTCTCTCAAGGAAAGCTTCTCTTAACAGAGTATGTAAAATGAGAAAAGACTTTTATAAAAAAGTCTCTCTAGTGGCTGGTTCCTTCTCTGATCTTTTAGCATTTACCCTGATAGCCAACTTCGGGTTTTTATTACTGAGACCAATTAGAATTGGAGCAACTAGACAGACAAATGACATCATTAGAAACAAAATAGATAGTACGTAGTATTGGTTGTTTGTGGGTATATGGGAGAGACAGGTGCTAAAGATTATATTTACAATTCCTCCTCGTAGCTGGGGAGAGGATTGTCCCAGTGCTGAAGGGGAGGGGCATGCAAAGAAGACTTTGGAGAAAGATCGTGAATGTGCCGAGTTTGAAGAATTTTGTAAGCAAGCAAGCCAGCCCTGGAACAGAGGGATCTTCTAGTCTGCCCTGGAGATGCAGATAGAGGAGCTGTGAGTAGACAAATAGCAACAAACAGTGTGGAGGAACGAGAGCTCAGGCTGCTGGTCTGACCGCCAAGGAGAAAGCATTGGGCAGAAAAACTGTAGTTACAGAAGAAAATCTGCCAATAATGCCAAAGCCTTGATCTGGGTATTCTTTAATTTGTACATTTGTCCTGGCCAAGTATTTACTACAGTTTTAACAAGTCCGGAAGCATAATTTGATTTTTTCCATTTTGTTCACTTTGTAAGGCGAAAGCAGTTTCAATAATCTGTAATCAACAAACATTTGTGAAACAGCTTAAATAGAAGCTATAAGTCAAAGATCTCTGAATTTCTCACTGCCTGGATTTGACTATTTTTAAGATTCTAAATTACAACTGTCCTTTACTTAAACCAAAAATTGTGGTGCCTTAAGTCTTGTCTCATTTTCCTGGTCTCCTGGCTCGTCCTTTGTGGGTCTGCAGCTCACTGACAGACCAGACATATTTTCTCTAATCAAAATGTTCAAACACATACTTCAAAGACAACCATGGCCCAGCCACCACATGGAAAAGAAGTGACTCTGGCTGGGTATGTGGGGACATACTGCATGGACTTCTCTTGCTTCACAACACGTGTTATCTTCTTTTCTTTGAAGACTGTGGTAGCCATGGAAATGTGGTCTCCAGGGTGGCTGAGTGAGAATATGCTGAGGTTTTTAACAACTGGCTCTCTAGGAAAAACAAAAAAAAAAGTCCTTCTTTGTAGTGCTTGCCAGATTTTATGATGTAAACATTCTCATCACAGAGCCAATTTAATCTACCAACTTGATGTCACTGAAGGCAGGAAAACATATAGTGTAGACTCTTGTCAGACAATGAGAGTGGCTCCTGTGTACAAATGCACTCTGTTCTGACTAGAATGGCAGCTTAACACAAGGAAATAAGTTGTGCAAAATATGTTCAATTCAAAGAGAATGGATCTACTGATGTGTGGTCAGTTGGTGTTAGCTCCCAACTTTTCCTTCCTAACAGTATGGACGCTGTGCACACCAGCAGTTCAAGGACCTTAGCATTTAACTGCTATTTCTTGGCTTAGAAGGAATCTTGCTATCACAATTAAAATAGAAATTATTTTGAATCTATTTTTTATACCACTACCCAAAGAAATTATGTTTTACTTCAGGATAACAGTATAATATGTGTTCTAACATGTTGAACAAGAGAAAATATTTTCTATCAAGGTGTGATGGCATACTACATTAATCCATAGTGTATGTAGAGGTGATAGCAGCAAATGCCCCCGATTTCTTCATAAAACATACCCATTTACAACAGTGTGCACATACATAGTGTTGATGGGGAGGTATTGTATAATAAACACTGGGTCTTCTTTTAAAGCATTTACAACAAGCAGCCCTGGCAGAATCAGAGCTGCTATTATGCACACTGCATCTTTTATTTTGCATTCCGAAAGCGAATTAGCCTTTCTGGTAACACTTGGGAAAAATGTATTCATTAGCATTATGTGCACATATGCAAAATTTCATGGCTTCTGTCAGAACCTTGCAATACTACTGTTTATAGAGGGGACCTTTTCCCAAACACCCTGTATTGATATTCAACTCAGGAAGGTGATTACAAAAATATTATCAACACAATAAAAACATGATATAGTACAAACTTTTGTTTTTCAAAAGCTGAATTTTAGAGGCCTATGTTTATGCACAAGACACAGGTGAACAATACATGTTAGTATTTCTGCCTTCTTATTTATCTATTTTTTGTGCAAAATGAATTGATTTTAGAAAGCCAAGCTAAATGTTTTCATAATTTTGTTTAAGAGTTTCTTACAGAATAATGTTTAAAACTGTAAGAGTAAGTACTTTATAAAGTGGCCTGGTAAACACCCTATTGTGTTAGTTAATGCCCTGCCAAACAAAAATACCCCCTCACCCCATTTTTGTATTTAAATTTCTTTGTTCAAATAGATGACTCTTAGACAAAAGTGTACAGATTTTAGGTTCTTTAACAAAATCAGAAATATCAAAGTCATTTTTCATTTTCAAAGTATATACAAAGAAATGTCTGTTTCAATATAAAACCCCATAGTACACATTAAAAACCTGGCTAGCCAATGGCTTTAATCCTATTACAAGTGGCTACCAAGTTCTAAATTTAAGCATGTGATTTTATCCTGTACTCTTGTATTCTTCAATACAGGTATCAAAGAAAAATGATCTGACTTTTTTTCTTTTTATAAGACAGAAATCATTCTTTTGGGGACAAACTCTATGCCATGACAGGAAAGGCATTGTTTTAAACCTTAGAATAATTGTTAGAAAAGAACTATAAAATTATAAACCTTTGGAAACAAATGCACTGAAAATGTCTCTAGGAAAAGCATGCAACTGGCTAGGTACAAATCACAGGCACTGCCAGGCGTGCAGCCTTAAAAACTCACACAAAGAAAGGAGCACCAGAATCGTCTCTAACTTCACAAACCACGTAATAGGGGCCCACGTATAACACATAAAAATTTACATTTAACCCCAAAAATTCACCGCCAATAATAAATATTTATTTTCAGACTTCAGGAAACAGCTAGCATTATTCATTTTCCCAGCACTACAGTGGTATGGGCCAGCTATCATTTACTTCATTTTGGACTATGCAGACATGACAAAGAGACAAATATCTCCCCCAAATGGAATGGAAACTTATTCTTAGCTACTGTTTCCTTTTTCTTCCAAATGTTTTACTGGAACTTTACAAGACCTATATCACTTCACTGCAACTCCATGCTGTGCTATTTTCCCCATCACTGTCGGGTGATGTTCAGATTTGGCATGGGAAAGCAGGTCTCTAAAAGTAGGTCAGATTATAGAAGTGAAAAAGAGTTTGAATAAGGTAATATATAGTCAAAAATATATAATCATTCTTGTTATAACAAAGAGTTGCATTTTAAAGAAACTCATTTATAATTTTAATTACAAAACAGCCAGTACACAATATGAAATATGTTAAACAATTTTGGCTTTCAAAAAGCCCAAGTGTATAGCTCTATCAATTACATACATGGCTACCAAATGTCCAGTGTTTTACTGCTGTACATAAATAATGACAAGGCAAAGAACAGCAACTAGTCCAAGGGCTTGTAGGCCAAGGAACCACAGCATAAGCCAAAAGAAAATGACCACTACTGGTTCCACAATTCGTTCTCCAAAATACATCCTTGTGAAGCCCATGTTGAGGAGGTTTTTGTTCAGTTCACCAAAAAGTGTTCCCATCTTTTTGTAGTCATCTCCAATGGGTTCGCCAGTGTGGTTTTGTGATTCTTCAACATCCTGAAAAAGAAAAAAGACAAACCAAACTATGGACATAAGAAACATGTAAATATCTTTAATAACAATTATCTCACTACATCTCCAAATAACTGGGCACACACTTCTGGCAATCATTTAGTAAATTCTTATTATGAAGACATCCACAACTCAACAGTGCATAACTTCACATGGCAGTGGTAGTCTTTAAATGCAAATAAGGTTCTGATGCTGAGAAGGGGGCCATCCTGAACTACCTCTTGGACTGACCTAACCAACAGAACCTTAATAGTACTGAGCTGGTATGAAGCTTAAGAAGATGCTGTGTTACTGGTTGGACGATGGAAGGAGGAGCCTGTGAGTGGTGAAATGTAGGCAGACTGTGAGGCTGGAGGAGAAAAAGGACATATCTTTGAGTACCTCTGAAAGGTGAGTATATCCTTGCTGATCTAGACTTCTGATCTCTCAGAATGTAAGATAATAAATATGTGTTGTAGAACAAAACACTTGTTCAGACAGTGGGAATGTTCCCTTGAATTGACATGTTGACTCTCTTACCTTTCCAAAATAGAGAAAATACTTACTAATTTTGTAGACTTAGCACTACTAAGTCCCCATCTGTATGATGTGGGTAGAGTTCATTCACCCCACTCACTCTCCAGATGCTTGGAATTGCACCAAGGTGCCTGTGTAGATGAAGAGTGATGCATTTATTCTCTTCTCTGAGAGCCTGATTGCAGAGCCACCTTTCTGCCCATCTCCTGTTTCATGAAACAGGGTCCTGGCCCCCCTGTCTTGGTGAAGACATTCCTGCAAACTAAGATTTTAACAGTTCAAGCTTAGCTGTCTGGAGAATGACTAGTTACTGTAAGGTAGTCCTCAGCCATTGCTGTTGTGATCTTTCATTTTTAAGCCTCAGCTAGCTATGCAGGTTTACCTGTGGCCCTTGCATAGCTTCCTGTCAAAACACCGCTGAGACCGTAAACGCTTCCTGTTAGTTTCAACAGGGGAGACAAAGCTTTGAAACAGGATTAATTTTGCACAATGCAGAAAGTCTACTGAGAAGTCAGTGCCGCCAGTAAATCTCTGTGTAAATCTACAGGATTTTCCAAGAGTATTTTTGTTACTGTCCACTTGTGCTACAATTGAGAGCATCATGCTAGTTCTTGATGTTTCCAACCCACTTCTGAGGTTTTATTTGTTTCTTCAACGGTTTATATGTTGAGGATTTGATCTTTAATATGATGATAAAAGGTGAAAACTTTATGAGGTGGAACTTAGTGGGCAATTGTGCCAAATGGGGGTTCTAAAAGAGACTGTCCGTTCTTCTTTCAACAGGATTGTTAGGAAGGGCTGAGGCCTTGTTTCGTCAAGCTTTTGTTTGGATTCCAGTTCTACTATGCACTCACTGCATCTGAGATTGCAGTCTACCTTGAAGTGAGGTGGCCAAGGTGGAGCCCTCATCAGCCTGTACCAGTTTATTTGGATTTTTAGAATCCAAAGCCATTAGCTAAACAAAACATGTTTTCTTTATATATTAGCCTGTCTCTGGTATCTCATGACAGTAATGAAAAATTGACCAATAGAACAGTCCTTTGGAATTTGGCGCACAGGTGAAAAAAGAAAGTAATTTGCTTGGATTCATCTTATGTTTATTAGCATCTCATCTTGTATATGCTACATGATACCATACTGCATTGAAACATGCAAATTTGTCCTTGTCTGATATTAAGCCATTTTCCTCCACAGCAGCATTTGAAGGATCTTTCATTTAATTTGCAATTGTTCTGGGTCCACATCTTGATTTCTCTAGTGTTTAATGTTTCTCTAGTGTTTGGTGTTTAAAATTGATAGTGGTTTTGGTTTCTTTTCAAAGTCGTTAAAATAAACCCTCTTTATAATCAATTGTTGTCTGTGTACTCATTGTACTTCAGGTTTTTTGCAGTTCTTAAAGGTTTCTAAGACTTTTTTTCAGTATTTTTTGTGGTTTTAGTATAAATAAAGTACCAGAATCAAACATAATAGTTATTTACTTTAATGTCCTTGTAAAATGAACTAAATCTATGAATGTCCCCAGTTTTGACGGGGAGAGGTAGGTCTTTCAATACATAACTCCAGCTGCGAATTAGTTAACTCTGTCCAAGTGTAGTGACAGCAAGGATCCTGTAGGAGTTGGTGGACTCATAAGGCAAGGTAGGAAGAGTACATTTGGACAAGTTGTAGTTATTGCAGCCTGCCTCTGCCTCTGCTCTCTCTCTCTCTCTCTCTCTCTCTCTCTCTCTCTCATATATATATATATATATATATATATATATATATGCACACACAATATCCTTCAAATATATATATAGAGAGATATACAGAGAGAATAAGTACAATGAACAACGACATACCTATCAGCCAAATTTAATGATTACTAAATTTTGTCCCCTCACTATGGTACTGCTCAATGTGGCCAAACTAAGAAAAGGTTGTTACTAGGAAAATGCTGCCTCCCAAAACGTGTCTTCTCAAATGCAGTTCTGTGAAAACATCAGATTCCTACAATAAACTCAGTAGGGATTCAAACAAACCAAAGATGACACCACAAACAGGGCAGGAAATGGGCAGTGTTGCTAAGCTGGCAAGGCCTAGTGGGCCTCAGTGCTGTGCTTTCTGTATCCATGGAGAGGTTTTGGGGTCCTTGTGTTTTTCTCAGAGATTTGTTACTTCCAGGGTAACTGGGATCTCAGTAGCACTATTGATGGTGCAGTAGAAGTGCTGAGACTGAGCACTACTGTGTACCAGGCACAGCACTATCCTGACTGATTTCCCCAGGAACGTCTGTTTATATATAGGTGAGGAAGTTGCCAGTGTTGACTTATACGTAGCAGTGGTCAGTTCTGTGAGAACACACCCTCATTCCCACACATTGCTAATTTCTAATGAGTGGTGAATACCTCGGTCTTCAGATACAGCTTACATATTTCACCTTGGAAAAAGAAGACCGTGGTAACATTTTGTTTAATGCATTAACAGAGCAAACTGAATGTCAGTGTGATTCTTGCTTTACATCTTTTCTAACAGTTTTAAAGTAAGTTTATCAAACAGGAAAATTGTTCGAACTTCTATTTTCATCTTGTGTAAAAATTTAAATGAGGTAAAGCTATCTGTAGACTAGTACATTTTCATAGCTTCACATTAAAATGTCAAAAGGGAAAAAAGACAGAAAGAATGAGGAAATACACCTAGCATAGCTGCAGTAAGAAAATTTACTTTACACACACAGTAAACCGAAGCAGAGATGCAGATGGAGCTTTCCCTGCTCTGACATTAATCACCCAGCTTTCTGCCAGACGTCCTTCTTTGTGTGTGAGGCTCCAGGGAAGAACATTAGTCAAGCGGACGGCTCCTTTTAGGGTTACACAGGACTACCAGAGAGTGTTCTCAGCGAGGCACTGACAGCTCTTGTTTGCCCATGATTGAAGACATACTCAAAAACCCAAGAGTGACCCAGCTTATTCAAAATCCCTCTAATGTTTTTCTGTTATTTACTACTATTGTTGCAGGAAGATGTGTGCATGTGTGATGTTTGTAAGGGTATCCACGGCACACTTGGTGATCAGAGAATAATTTTGTGTAGTCGGCCCTCTCCTTCCACATGTTCTGGGGACTGAACTCCATGTTTCCAGGCTTGTGCAACAAGTAGCTTTACCAGGTGAACCACCTTGCTGGCCCTCAGAACTTTCTTAATGATAAAAAATGAAAGGTAAAACTTCAAATCGGATACTTGAGAAAAATCCTTAGAAGAATTACATCAATCTCATATTTTAGAAACCATGCATAAAGAGGTCAGGTTCTGTAAACCTACTAACAAAAACCAAGGCACAGTTATAAAATACTGCATATAAATATACAGATGGACCATTATTATAAATACTCAGAGGATACAAATGAATACAGTAAAAAGTGAGATTGGATTTATCTTTGGCAATATGAACCCATGAAAGTCATAAGAAGGAAAGTAAATTTATTGCAGTACACATGCCAGGGTGTATAACAAAAGAGAAATGTGTTTTGGACAGCATTTGTAGATAGTTTGTGAACTGAGCTTTACTAACAGAGGAATAAACAAACGGCAGCTCAAAGCTTGCTTTTCTCAACTTGCTAATTCATCTGCTTCTATGGATTGTTTTTCATTCTGGTCTACTGACCTCTTCTCTGTCTCAATTAATCTATTTTCTCTTTCTCCTCACTATACCCTTACTTGTATGTTGATGGGGCAACTATGACTGAAGTTGCCCCACAGAGCTTGAGACTGTATAGATTTATTGACCTACATTTGGATTACTGTATTTTAACTCTAGAATTCTCATAAGAAAGACCTACTAAGTTCTTTGGTTCATCCATTCTTTAAGCATGGTTTCCCTCAATAATAATGATAATGATAATAATAATAATAATAATAATAATAATAATTTCTCATGTAGACTGCTCTGCAGATTCTACCATGTTCTTTAGCAGTAATTGATTCAATTTTCATTAAGCCTAAAGAAAGCTAGTAGCAATCTACAGAGGCAGGTGGATCTCTGTGAGTTCGAGGTCGGGCTGGATCGACATCTTCCAAAACAATACAGAGAAACCCTGTCTCATAAAAAAAAAAGAAAGAAAGAAAGCTAGTAGGAATTTAATATCCAAAGTCCTACCTTTCCCTTAGCTGTGTCTAACACATTAAATTTCATACACAGATTTGTTTGTTAAAACATTTTAGTATAACTAAAGTATCTTCTATCAATAACATACATAAGTAAGAACTCCAGAAAAACCTACAAACTTCAGGTGTCGGAATTAAGCAAAGAATGCTCTGTGTCAAAATGATCTCCTTTCCATTCCTACAGGACAAAAATATACACATTAAGATAAGTAAAAGCAAGGCTGCCATTGTCTTTCACATTCAGCACATTTATTATTTTATTGCTTTGAAAAATATGTTCATCTAATAAAATCAATTCAACAAACACTTTCCTGGTGTCAATAATGTATTA